GTCATCATTTACCCAGAATGCTTTGTGTGTAAATAAAATGGCTCCGTCCGTATTAAAATATATATTTTAAAAATTTACAAAACTAAACACCCTACAGTATTTTTACAGTCTTTATTTTACAGTTAAAATAAATGTTTATCAAATAAAGTCTAATGTTACAACTAATCATGGATCCCTTTAAAGACAGTACTGACCTTTGACCTTGTGTAAAATGCTTTTCATACAATAAAATGAGAATCAATGTGTCATGTGGGAGAACAGTTTATATCTAAATCTTTAAATTGCAGATGTTGTTTGGTGCTTCAGATGATGGATGACCTGGAGATAAGTGATGACAGACTTTCTCTCTTTAGGAACAGTTTGGTGGCAGCATGAGGAGACTTTGTAAGTCAAACAGTCAAACTGATGATGGTGAATGAGGTGTAATCTGAGCGGGACATATAAACTATACAATAAAAAAAACTACACAATACGCTGCTTTAAAGGTGCAGATTTCAGTTCCTTGTCTACTACCTACTACACAGCAAAAATGCCAGTGTTAATTTAACATCCACAGTGTTAATTTTAACACCAACAAAGTGTCTATATGTGTCCACACTCGCTGGTTTTAAAATAACATTTGTGAAAGCGTTAAATTTTAACACTCATTTTTTTGTTAATTTAACTCCAACCAGTGTTTAATATTAAACAATTCTTTGTTTCAGATTAACAGAAAAATAGTGTTAGTGTTAAAATATAGTGTTAACAGTAACACCGTCCAGTGTTAAGTATTCAACAATTCTGGGTGTCGTATTAACATTTTGACAGTGTTAAATTAATGTGTTAAAAGTATCACCGGTGTATTATTATTATTATTATTAACAAAGGAAATTGTGGTGTAATAAAGGTTTACAGACACCACAAGGTGTCAATACACCATGTAATTGAGAGAGTGTAAATTTAACACTCAGAGTTAATAGCAATCTTAGTYGTTAGTAGAAAAGTATGATGGAGTCACTCTTCACACACCAGGACAGAACTCTCACTCATGGTGTCGATTTTTGGCCAATAACATAAACTTAAACT